CACACAGACAGGGTCGTCCCAATATGCGTTTTTGCAATTTGTATATAGGCAAAAACGCATAAAAAGGGAGGGTTGCGCATGGAATGGGCACATATTCCCAAAGTTTCAGTTTTCTAGCTTTTCTGGTTCTCGAGTTGAAAGTGGGCGAAAAAACCTGCGGACACATAGATACAAAATGCGTTTTTGCAATTTGCATATACGCAAGAACGCGTAAAAATGAGGTCGTTGTAATTTTGTTACGAAAAGCGATTTCGTCAACTGGTTAAGCAGAAATTTTACGAGGATATTCTGTGCCAATGTGCGACTCAAATATTTTAAATTCAGCTTTAACGCATGCCCAGGTTTCGCGTGCATGCAACCGAAAATTTAATTTTGCACACTGCTGACGCCTAATCAATTCGGTAGCCAAAGGGCAGAAAAATGAAAAATGCTTCTAAGGGTGTTCGCTGTTTACACTTTCGGGCCAATAGGTTTAAAAAAGCTTTTGGTTTTGCATGTGCCATGCATACAGACATATTCAAACGTTCGAACTGTAACGTTCCGTCATTCTACTGTCTTGGCAATCGAGCAGGCAAAAAGCTGAAATTTTACAGTGCAAATGGATTTTGTGGAATGCAAAAAACTTGACAGCGACTTTCACACATCCTAACAACTCGGCTAGGGATACAGCAAATTTTAGGCCGCAAAAACGCATGATCTCATCGTCTACGCCTATGTTTGTCTGCTGAATTGATTTATGCAAAAATGCTTCAAAAATAAATAAGGTCGAACTTGTTTGGCAGTACAATTAAGTGGCTCATCACTTGGCGGAATAAACCATGTGTCGGCATACCAACCAATGAAAAACCAAACATACTTCCGGCCGTATAGACCATGCTTATATGCCTGCAATCTTCAAAAAAATTCCAAAAAGCTGTTTGCTGAAAGATCAATAAATTTGTGTTGGGACGCACTGCACAAATAATTAATGCTTTTGCGTCTATGCCGTTCTGCGACACACACACACACAATACTCAAACATGTGTATTAACCTAGCATGCACGTTAATTATTGAGAATGCGCCGAGCATCAGCTACAGTGAAGGCTGAGTCCAGCTCAGCATAAAATTCCACAACCTCACTGCCGCTACTGTGCTACTGATCCAACAGTAAAGCAAATTCAAGTTAAATGTTGCTCAGGGCTTCTCCAAAATTCCAAAAAAAAGCAAAATACCTGACAGAGAACACGCCTAGCCTCGGTAACATAGAATAATCCAACTATAATACGCGCATCCTGGCGAACAAGTGTTTTTACAGCATCTGTTGGATCACCATAAAAGCTTTGCCGTTCAACCCGTATGCCCTTCTCTCGACACTGTTCTTCGAGGTCTTTTGCTGTTGATGTAAATACTTCTTCAACCGATTGCAAAATTGTGATTTTCCGCCATTTAAATTTTTGAAAAAGCCTCAGCCTGTTTCAAAAAAAACAAATATAATTATCCGTAATCAAATGTAAGGATTGCTCAGGTGCAAATACATATAATTCGAGCCAACTTGAGGAAAATAGGATATGACAAGGCAGCCTGCCTTCAGAACGACAAAACACTCTAGCGTATAGTCTGTATTTTTAGGATCTGGTAGGATTTAGCATTATTTGAACTAAAGCGCGTGCCCTTCTCGGTTTCGCTTTACCCCCAATGTGAAGTAAACCGTCCGAGCAACTCAGTTGTAAACCAACAGGGGTCCCAAAGTGGGATTATGATTAACAAAGTGGGATACTGATTAGTTACGTGAAGATTACGTAGATTCTAGACAGGTACGAACGATTCCGGCTTAGTTACGAAGCTCGGCAAGATTTGGGTGCAAAGTACTTGGTATTATCAGTACTCGGTACTATTTGCTGAAAGAAGATTTGCCAGAGCAAAAAAAAAATTATATGTACGGTTTCAGTCACAGCATGCTACTTCACTGAAGTATCTTCATCTTCTTGTCGGAGAAAGTTTGAATAATAGTTCGAATAATACCTGTTTTGTGAGTACTACTCGCTAATACATAATTTTTGTCACTTTTGAGGAGACTGAACTGTGTTTTGCAGCTTTTACACACCGCATGTTTTGGAGTGTTTAAATTATCAAGAACGTAATTATGTACCTTGTTGGATTTTGCATATTGGCGGTAGGGTGAGTCCTGAAAAGTGTTGGAAAGCGGTTTCTATTTGAAAGTGCCGGAGAACTGCCACCATAAGAAAGCTGAAAAAAAAACAGTAAGAACGGCAGGCAGAAACTAAAAACCTTCGCTGCTGCGTTGAAAGTGGGTGACAAAGTTCACTTGCTTTTCGAACACACACACATAAACACATACGCACACACACATAGGCACACACAAACAGACTCTCAATAATATGAGATTTTACATTTGCATAAACTGCAACTCGGGCTGAAAAGCACCGGGATTGCTGGTACAGTCATGCGTTTTTGCTGTGCAGCGCTATACCGCTGCTAGAATGAGCAAAAACGTACACTGTCGAGAGGTCATCTGTGTGTGTGTGTGTTTGTGTGTGTGTTCGGAAGCTTCCAAACACACACAAACCCACTTTCATCTCGGCAGCTAGGAAAGCTGGGAGACTGAAATTTTGGGTGTATGTTCGCACCTCGTGTACCATTCTCTCCTTTTAAAATCCTCGCTCATACGCGCCCAGACCTCGCGTACGGACCACCCAAAAAAATATGCAAATTTTTTTGGCAGGAAGCGATTTGGCAAACCAGGCAAGGTACAAAGCTGAACCTTTGCAAGGATATTCGCTGTGCGTGTGCGAGCTAAAGATTTCAAATTCAGCTATCGCGGACGCACGCTTCTGCAGCGCGCACGTTCACGTCAAAGTTTACACTTGGCACTGTGCTAACTCGAAAACTAGCCAGAAAACAGAGACTGAAATTTTGTCAGCATATTTGTCGCCCATATGGGAAACCATATATCTAAATTGATTTCCAATTTGCGCTTGTGCCACGACTGAGAACACTTCAAGGACATTTGCAGCGAAGTGGCTATTTCATGTTCCGGATAAGGTGCGAGGCCGAAACTTTGCTGGGACATACTACTTTTAAGTGCGGTCTTGATTCTGCTTGAAAGTGAAATTCCCTGCAAGGGGAGGCGGGAAGGGGGAGGGGGAATGAGAAGTATTCAACTTTACTGAAAAATCAGAAACAAATGCATTTTGCAGCGAATGCCCACCCTCATCCTTCATTTACGTGTTTGGATTTTTTAACGAACGACCGCTCTAGCAACGACCGCTAGACAGGAATTGTTTATTTTTATTTATGCAAAATTGACGATGATTTACGGTAGTGAGCGCACAAGGTAGGTATAAAGCAGCAACCGGTCATGTAGTCAAGTCCTGATTACTTCAAGTTTAGTGCAAAAACGCATAATCGCATCGGCAAGCCTGGTGCCTTTCGGCCTGGTTTGCATTAAAATTGAAGCAATTCGGTTGCTAACTGTATAAATGGCTGTTGCTTTACAATTAACTTGTGTACTCATTGGAGTAAATCATTGTATATTTTGCATAAAGGAAAATGAACAATTTCCGTTTAACTTTCATTTTTATGCGTTTTTGCCTATATGCAAATTGCAAAAACGCATATTGGGACGACCCTGTCT